TCTAGAATTTGAACCACGCTATCGGACCTGACCTTCTTTTGAACCGTTTGAAATGAATAATAAACCTTATTGTCTCAATGTGAGATGCAATTTCCAGTCATTTTGAAGCCCCACCCTGGCTTTTGCCGGGGGTCCTGAATATAGCAGGGCCTTAAGTAAGTGGCCTAACGGCTAATATGGGTTTGTGGGACCTCTCCACGGGTGATCTTCATCTGCATGGTGGCACTTAGTGTCGCCAGGTGTTTATCGCCCTGTGTGATATCCTGGTGGGGTAAAATCTACTTACTGAAAACGAATATTTGTTTGATGGATCTCGCAATAACTCCCTTTAACAAAGTTTACTTAGTTTTGACGCAAATCTTGTTCACAAATATAGAAACAATGTAGGCTGGCTATTAACTGCGCATTCTATTCTGCCTAAATATATCATTTATTTTCATAGCTCCTATTTGGCGTGTTTACAAGTCTCTTGTTTAAAAAAAAAAAAGAAGAAGAAGTAAGGAACCCTCTTGTCTACGTCTTCAGGCATAAAGGGCTAGACCTATTTTTGATAGACCAACTGGAACACGGCTGGACATATGGTCAACATCACGCCGGCCGCATTTATGAGGACTGTACCTGGTACACATTCAAGACTAGGTCGACTTTGCTAGCCAAGGTCATTTTTGAAGGGAAAAAAAGGCTGTTTCCATCAAGACCTGAACGCACGACTTCAAAGGTGAACATCCAGTCGCTACGTCACGACGGCTCCCCATGTTTCCTTGTATCTTTGAACAACTGATGTTTTCCTGATATCGTCATATATTCCTCCTGTAAAAAAAAGGGGGCGGGGAGCAGTTTAGATAGTCTACAGATCATCCTCATTACACATCGAACTTTTCATTTCATAAGTGCTCGAATCTCCTCCCCAGTAAATTCCATCGCGCGTAGCGGCTAGTGTCACCAATTCTGTATTGGTTCCTTATTCTTCTTTGGCCCTCTGTATAGTGCTCTTGTCTGGTTAGGCCTAGTTTAACTTGCTGTTCTTGCAGTCTGAACATGATCGCATACTCAGTTGGTTCTCGCCACGACCGTCTCCAGCTTTAAATCTTCTGCCAGAGGTCACGGTTCTCACAAACGTCTTACTATTCTTTGAGCATTCAGTTCATCAGCCAGATGGCCAAATCACGTGATATTCTCAAAGACATCAATGGGTACACTGTTGACAACTCTTCACTAGTTATATCATGAAGGCATCTGAATGTCAACCGATTTACAAATAGTTCTTTGACAATCGTAATATAAATCACCCTTACGCTGCTGGTCTTTGAATATCATCAAAGGCATGACCAGCCAGCTGGATTGGTCAAATAATCTAATCGTTCAGTCGGTGAAAGTAAAGAAGAAGGTAAGTCTGGATAAATTCAAAAGTTAATTGCTAGGAAGTGGTTTCGCACAGCATTTAAACAGCATTAAACGTTTATAGTTAAGGAAATCAAAATTAAATATTTTAGAGCAAGCATCTTCCCTGTTTCAACATAGGGATGTGAGTCGTGGACTATTTGAGCTGAAATGCTATGGGGAGATTCTCAGAATATCATGGATAAAGAAGAGGAGACATACTGACATTTTAAAAGATCTGAAAACATCAAGGGAAATGGTTTAATAAACAGTATCTTGTCTCGAAAGCTAAAATATTTCGGTCATATCAAGAGCCATTGCGGATTGCGGGGGGGGGGGGTGGCAGATGGCGTGGTGGTGCCATGAAGGATGCAGGGACCGACCAACACGAAGACGGACACAGAGTGTCCTTGAATATGAAAGTACAAACCGCGTTTATTTCAGGCAGACTGTGATAAGAGCGACGTTCTGCAAAGGACCTGCTACATGATGATAATGATGGTTTCTGCGACTGTTTAAAAAAGACCAATTTAATCATTTGATTTTTACTGGGCAAAAATATGTGTAAAAAATTATGATCAGTGAAACGAATTAAACTTTTGGAGAACACGGTAAGCAAGAGGGCATGGTTAACGTCAATCCTGGGGTGGGGGGGGGCGGGGGGTGTTTGGTTTGTGTATTTATCTGCTGTTTAGATGTGCACACGAGAGTGCGGACTGGAAGGATTGGTAAAGAAATGGAATGAGATGTGTAGGTAAAGTCAGAGTTAGAAAACAGAATATGAGAGAGAGAGAGAGAGAGAGAGAGAGAGAGAGAGAGAGAGAGAGAGAGAGAGAGAGAGAGAGAGAAGTAGAGAATACAACTTATAAACAGTAACATAGAGGAGCTGTGATAAACATAAGAAAAAATAACTTCAGAAAAGCATCTGTAGAAAACAACTTACAGTGAAAATAACGAGAACATGCATCTGTCCTACGGTAACATACGCTTGTGAGTCGTGGTTTGTGTATAACACAGTACCTGTGTCACCCTTCAAAGGCCCTAGCAAAGTGGTTCTCCATAAACACGCATATGTTTAAAGGTAGACTTGCCACTTTCGAGAATCAGTGAAGAAACTTTGACTCATCCGATGATGTATACGGAAAAAAGGTTTGATCTTTGAGATCAAAAGCTCTTAAATTTATATTCGCAATAATGGCCAGAGCAGCAGCCAGCATTGAACAATAATTCTTCCGTCTCTTTTCCATGTAATTTTTCTTTCTCCTAATAAGTTTGCTGTTGCCATCCTCACTGTCAGTTATACTCATATTAATAGACTTGAAAAGATAGAAAATGAAGCTAGGCTCGTATTTTTAAAACTGCAAGAGATCCTCTTGTCTAGCAATGAGATCTTTTCTTGTCTTTCCGGCCATACACCACAGGATCAAGATTGGGTGGGCTTGTGCATATCTGAAGATAACCAGATCTGAAGCACCGTTTTCACCACGCGCTCTTCAGCAAAAACGACAAAAGACTAAAACGGAGCAAATCATGGCTGGGACGACAAAGGATTATATCAGGCAGGTCTGCGGCCTTCCAGACATCCCCACGGCGAGAAATGGATACCTGTGTCTCCAGTACACATTCGCACATTCTCCTGTTTTCACGCTTGTTAGTAGTTGACTGTAGCATAATCCTATAGCTGTCGATGCAGGTATCTACAGACGATCGGATATTTTTAGAGCAGGGCGATCACATTGCTGCTAAAACTGCCAAAATTGGGAGCAAGGATCGATATAAAAAGGCCTGAGAGATACGCTGCACATACAACGTCTTGTCAACTACATTAGTAAAGCAAAGGACCCTTTCCCACGCCTTTCATGCATATTGAGTATATAGGGCAAGACGTATGTTTTACAGATCAGCAGCACAAGATGGGTGATGTGGTCAGCATCCCGCCGGCTGCCTTTACTTCCTATGACTGCACCCGGTACCCACTCAAGGCTGGGTCGACCTGGGAGCCAAGGTCATTTTGAAGGAAAAAAAGTCCCACTTCGCCAGGGAGCGAACCCACGACCTTCCGATCCGCAGGCGAGCTTCTAGCCGCCACCCCACAACCACTCCCCAACCACATTAGGACTCGCACAATTAGCCGCTTGGCGCAGGCGTACATGCTGAAGGCAGAATGTTCATGTCCTGAGTGCAGTCACGATTGCCAAACTCATAACTTCAGAGTCGTCTTAACGAATTGGCCCGCTGGGCACTCGCTAGAGGGCCCCACGTACATAGGAATCCCATGCTACTCTGTGTGTGTCATGTGACTTGCCATAATGACTGTCAACGGACCCCAGCACACTAATTTTACTATAAGACCCATAATGGTGTCAAGAAGGCATTGATGCCGGCAGTGGATTGAGTCACAGCAAAACTCGTCTGTGTGAAGTAACCTTTTTCTTTGCCTCTGGGCATGCGCCTCTTTTTGGCAATGACAGAACTGACAGACTGGTTTACTCTGTCTTAATGGCACAGGACCAGCCTATAGAACGCGCAGGCATATGTTAATACCCTTAAAAATATAGGATAATGAGAGGTTTTGGGGAGTAGACGTCCATATCGCTGCTAAAGATGTGAGAATTGTGAGTAAAGGTCCATTTAACATAGAGTCTGGAACAAGACCAGAGTCCAGAAGTGGACGAAGAACTATAAATTTGCGCCAGTTTACAGCCGATGTTGTTACAGTCCGCAAAATCCCCTTTCTTTAGAATTTTAACAGTTATTTCTTTCTTCCAAGATTTTTTTCTTCTCTGTCCATATTCTGTTTAAAAAAATCGTTCACTTGATTTATGGTCATTTCATCTCCTACCTTAAACATTTCTGCAGTAATACCATCAACTCCTGCTGCCTCAATATTTGCTAATGAATTGTTAAAGAGATAAGAATCTTGACGTGGTTTCAGTTCCAAAATAAATTAATAGACGGTGTTGTAAATAAATTAACTTGTAATGACTGATAATCATACAAAGAAGCAGAGATATGAGAAATATAGAAAGAAGTAATGTATTATTTTTCTTTTGTTATTCCGTTATTCGCCATAAGTTGTCTGGCCAATCAAAGTATAATATAATGTTCTTGCCTTTTTCAGTCAAAGACAAATGCCACATTAGATGACAGAAGACAAAAAGAACATCATATTATATTTGGAATAACCAAGACACGATGATAAATTGTTTAGTACTTGAGGAGTAAGGTGTGTTTCAATATCAAGCATTCGTGGCCTCTTTTGCCTCCACATAGTGATTTGTTTACATCGAACAGCTGACTGCAGGAGGAATATTTCCTGTTTGGGTGCATCTGTCAATCAATCTTTGTTCGCTGACCCATTTATCTTCAACTCTAATTTTTCTTGTCCTTTGCAGTGTTATTTCTCTTGGATGTTAATCAGAATTAAAATTATTAACAAACAGTGCAAAAATATTGTTGTAAAAGTTTTTCCAGCAAAAAACATCGAGGTGAGGAAAACCAAATGGGAGGGTTCAAGGTGATCACGTGACACAACGTAGTCCCGTAGCAGAAGAGCTCCGCCATATCTGTTGTTTTGGAAATAACTGAGGAGACCCAAAGGTGAAATTATTGCAAAAAAAATGTCATCGCCGAGCCCAGGAAAGCGTCGTATGGACACAGATGTTGTCAAACTGTATCCTTTTTCTCGTTGCTGAGTAGTTGCTAGTGTGAGATATCAGTATAAGTGGGTTAGAAACAAAATATGTGACCGTATATTGTCAGATGGTTAGTGATCCGTCTTGTGAATTTTTTTTGTTGCTGTCGAAAGTCATCGCTTATTGATAATGAATAATGGCAGTGGTATCGCAGAATTTGTTGCATTTCTTTTATTTCTTATTTACAATAGTTAGACTGATTATGTGATAGGGTGAACGATTTTGTCAGGTAAAGTTATTAAACCAATAACATTTGAGGTTTTCCACATTTACTGAAGTACACAATGAAGTAACATAATAAACCTTTAAAAAAAAACAATGTTACTATTTGTAACAGTGACGCAATATAATATATTCACCGTTCACGCAGTAACTTAAGTTTCTTATAAATAGAAACAAAATTTCGCTTTTTAATTAAGTCGTTAGAATGTACGCAGTTTGTACTTGCGTTAAAAATAAGTTTGATGAGTAAAAAAAAAGATGTCTTTCTTTAAGGTATTAGTATTAGCTACATTCAACTGCCACATGTACATTATTTAAGATAATGGTTGCTATACTCTGTTGTTAACATTTGAATGGCTGGTATATTTCACTGTATCTCTTTAAGTGCATTACCAAAGAGAGCTTACATCAACATATAATAAAGAACAATACCTGCATCCTTTCCACTGAAATACAGTCTACACAAATCACATTGTCATGTTAGGCTAGATCTCAGTAACTCTGTACCCGATGAGATAGAGTAAAATCTGTTAGGCAGTACATTGTAAATCTCAGACTTCCATGGTAGTCATGTGGCTCATCTTGGAACTTCCTGTCTTGAGATTAAAGTGTAACATAAAGACTACATATATGTGTCAGAAACATTCTATATGTTCTTCAGATCATACAAGAGAAAATAATTGATGAATGTTTACCAGATAGGGCTGTAAAGACTCTTTCATTCTCACGAGGTTTCACAGAATATATCTAGCGGAAACAATGGACATAATAAAATTAACATGAGTGCATAACTTTAACAAAGGGAACACTTACACACTTTGCATGAAACAGACCATCTTGCAGCTTTCGGTAACTGACCAGATTTCAGTAGTATTCATCGCATCAGATTGTGCGTTATGTGTTTAATTTAGAAAATAGGACATCATGCACAGTGCATTGTTTGGGACTAAAGGAATTCATAAAAACATTCTCAGATTAAATTTTTTGTGAAGATGTTAATTATGTACTCATGATTACATGCCCACTGGAATAGCTAGTATCCAGGTTCAGAGTCAGTTAAACTTTTCAGTGCACCCCAAGACGCTACAATGCTGGGCACTTCTATGGGAGACCCAGGTTCTAATGCTCAGTAAAATAGTGAGTCTTTGCTGTTGGGTTCAGAAATAAGCATCCTGACCTGCACAGTTCATGGTAACTCCTAGCCATGCAACCTCAAATCTTCAGGCTCAGGGAACCCTCCCTCCCCCCCCCCCCCCTCCCATCACGGGCCGCCCCTACAGAGCCATAAAAAGTGGTACATAAATGCAGTAAAGATGACAGTATTCCACATGCCTAACAGTTATTGAGCTGAGTTATATTCTTGTCTTAGAATACTCTTGTATTATCATCATGCACCATGTTGATAAACATGAATGGCCCATGGGTCACCATCCGAAAAAGTCTCAAGTCTGTGTTCTTGTCTCATTTATTATGGTAGCCTGCTTAAATGGTAGGCAATCCCCATATTCTGCCCCTGCCTTACCTTGAGGGTGGACCAGTCTGCATGCAGCTGACCTGGACGGGTCCTCTAGGGGCAATACCTGTTGATTATGTGGGCAGAAAAATAATCACACAAATGTTATCACAGTCCAAATCACTGCACATTTGGAATTCCCATGTGTGCTCAGTCCTCCAATGCAGCAGCCACTCCAAGGTACCTCTGTTAGTTGTTCCCATGAGAGGTTGGGTGTAATGTCTCATCTCGGCCTTGAAGGTGGCATAGACATGCTTCCCTATGTTATACTCCATGTCATGGAGTTGTGTTAGTGGAATTCCCATGTGTGCTCAGTCCTCCAATGCAGCAGCCACTCCAAGGTACCTCTGTTAGTTGTTCCCATGAGAGGTTGGGTGTAATGTCTCATCTCGGCCTTGAAGGTGGCATAGACATGCTTCCCTATGCTTTACTCCATGTCATGGAGTTGTGTTAGTGTTAGTCAGAATTTCGTCATTATCCACTAGCATAGTCCGTAAAGCGTTAATGAAATCTGCTCTGTTCTGTGCTTCTTCCCATATGCATTGTAGCATTTCTTGCTAGGTGGTCGGCTTGCTCATTATGTATTACCAGGTGTGCAGATCCAGGTGAGGGAGGTTAAATGCAATTTTCTAATATTTTCTGCCCATTCAGAATGCATACTGCCTGTTGCTATCTTCTGTAGAATGTTCATGGAATCTGATACAATTTCTGTAGGTGTGGCTGTTTGCTCTGTTGCCCATGCTAGTGCTCTAGAAGCAGCGACTATCTCCACGGTCATGCTTGACGTAGTTGCTTGGTAAACGCAGCTGTCCTCAGTATTATTTTCCCCATCCTTTGTGCTGTGTATACCCATGCTGACCTTGATCCGTGCTTCATGGATATATCTGTATAGATGATGTCTTCTGGGCGTGAATGCTGATCTATTAGTTCCCTTACCTTTGTGACCAAGGCCACAGGAATCTGATCCCTGCAGTACCTCCCCAGTGTGATGTTAACATTAGAGATGCCATGCATGACTACTGGTGTATTCATCAATTCTCTTCCGTGACTGATCTCATCAAGGTCACATACCTGCTGGATTGAATCTTCAGCCGTGGCAATCCATCAGATAATGGGTGACTGTCTACATCTGTTTAGTCTAATCAGTTGCATTTTTATGTTTTTTCTGAGTTATCATCTCATTCTCTTTTCTGTTTGCCCTTGGAAGAATATATGTTTATCTGCTACCACAACACAGTGGTGATGGTCCAGTCTACCATAGTGGCAAGATTGATTTTTTTTTTTTTTTAAACTGAGTGGCTCTTGTGCCGGAGATGTTTGTTCATCTAGGATTGAAAGGGGATGAAGAAAGAGGAAGGTCACCTACTATATAACGATGTGCCCTAGTAACTGTAACTGCTTATGCCAAACTTATTGCTGTTAAATTATTGTCTTTCATTTGGGCTAGACAAGGCAGGCCAGAAGAGGGATCATGCTGTATGGGCAACAACTGGTCTCTACAATACTTACCAGGCTTTTTGCTACGGAGAGGAGGAACTCCCTCCCCTGGCCATAATTGCCCATCATCATGGGTTGTGAATCCTGTGCCTTTGTGTAGCAAATATGACACTATCCTCTGAAATGACAAAAAAGTGTCAATATCAGTCTTGTGCAGGGTGCTTTTAAAGTCTCACAATTTGTGTGTGCGGAACAAATTTGAAAAACCCAAATACATGTTATAAAAGAAATGTGCATAAACAGTCATTAATTTAGTTATCAGTCACTGCTATGGTTTCGGGGAACCTGGAAACACCAATGAAAAATTCATTATAACAAGTCTTGGAAATAACCACCCCAGGCTTCAAGACATGACTGTACACATCTCTTCATATCGTCTAATACCCTTTGCAATGTGTCTGTTGGTATTCCTTGAATGGTACTTTTCACTGCTTTCATTGATAACACAATTCTGTTTTGAGTGCAAAATTACTCCAGCAGATGACAGCCATTCACTACAAATTGCTTCAGGTTTGACCGTGGAGTAAATATTTTGATGTTGAATCAAGAATCAACATCATTGCACTTGGGACACTCCCATATGTGCTCTGTCCCCATCTTCAGCAGCAGATGAATTCTAAATCCGATGGTAACAGTAACTGTTTAATTGTATATCCGTCTCGCCGTTCCGTTGATTGTTGAGCATCGGCCAGATCCCTTGGTAACTCCTCGCAACGCCATTCTCCTCCTACATATTTTTTATCACATCATGTACAGTGGAACCTCGCTTAACGAGCATAATTCGTTCCAGAAACATACTCGTTAAACAAAATACTCATTATACGAAACTATTTTTCTCATATAAATTTATCTAGAATACGATAATGCGTTCCATGATGAAAAAAAATGCTCACAAACTGCTATGTATAATGTTTATTCAAAGAAAATTATATACATATTGTTAAGGAGAGTGATTCATCTTCATCTTTTCTTGAAACGTGGAACGAACCCACCTGGAATGCAAATTCAATTTGCAGGGAAAAAAAGTCGAAATAATTATGATACATAGCTAATTATTTTTTTTGCTAGAAAGATGTCCAAAGACATTTGTTTTTGCCAACGATTCAAAATTTGGTGAAAATGCGACAAAGCATTATCATTAATTATTTTTGCAGCACACATAGCCACTTTCTTATTAGGGTGATGCTTCTTAATGTAAGATGCAAGTTTCCCATGCTTTTAGCATTTCTCTTATTTTGCCAGAAGATTGTTGCTTTTCTGTTACCTTCTTCTCTCACAAACTTTCCTCCAAAACTTCTTGCTGTGAAACACAATGCAACTCCATAAGTTCTTGGGTGGTCAGCTCTTGCTGTGCTCTTCCACAAGTTTTTCTATATCACTGTTATCCACCTACAATCCCATGATAGTGGCCAAAGACACAATCTCGTTGACTACAGGTTCCACAGGTACCGTCTCAAACCCCTCAGAGTCACAAATCAACAACGCTCTCTGGCCAAAGCTTCTTCCAAGCAGAAGTTAGGGTTCTCTTGGTGTTCCCTTCCCCCGCCTTGTCGATCATCTTGATACAGGCAACGATGTGAAAGTGATTTTTCCAAAATGAGGTTGATTCCTTCAGTCACCTGAAAACAATGCTCAAAGAGTGCTTTAGTATAGAGCTTCTTAAAGTTAGAAATAACTTGCTGGTCCATGGGTTGGAGTAACGGAGTGGTTTTGGGAGGCAGAAACTGGATCTTGATGAACTTAAAT